AAACGGTCTGTGTCGAGGGAGAATGGAGACATGGAAGTACGCGTCCTTCAGGTCGATCGCTGCAAACCAATCCTGATACCGAACACATTCGAAAATGCGTTTGGCCGTGAGCATTTTGAACGGTAGTCGATGGAGAGAACGGTTCAGAATGCGCAGGTCCAGGATCGGTCGTAACCCACCGGTCTTTTTTGGGGACAATGAAGTAGGGGCTGTACGCCCGGACCTCACCTCGGCTGGAGGGACCGTCTCGATTGCCCCCTTCGCCAGCAGGGTCGCAATCTCCGCTCTCAAGACTGGGGCATTGCCACCAACCATCGTGGAGCGAACTCCCCTGAAGCGGGGAAGAGACCGTGCGAACTGAATCGCGTAGCCGAATTTGATCGTTCTGATGACCCAGTGGGATACCCGGGAAGCGCTAGCTAGGCTTCCAGGAAGTGAGCCAACGGGGTCATGCGAACCACAGACGTCCCCCCGGAGGGGCAGCGAGGCGGGTCGACCGGCATGCGTGCAGGAGTTACCCCGTCCGGATGCACCGTCGAAACCCGCTCCCCGACAGAAGAGACCAGGGAAGGCAGAGCGTTCCACGGGGGTCTGTTCTGCCGGGGGTCTGGCGACAGAGGGGGAAGGGATTGGCGTAGCCCGGGGACGACACACGCACCCTTCCGCGCCCTCCGAGACAGAGAGGAATGAACGGGGCGACGCACTGGACGTCGTGCGCGCTCATTCCAGTCTGTGTGCTCAATGACAGTGTCAGCTTTTCCTCAACCAGCTCAGGGAGCTAGCTAGAACAAAAGATTCTCCACCGGCCCTCCACCGGGGAAGGAGGGGCCCTGCCACCGCCTCCTGAGAAAAACCATGACACTATCACTGAGCGGCCCGCCTCAGGAACATCGCTTCGCCTGGCGTTTAGCGGGGCACACGGCCTGAGGGGGGGGGGCGCTTACCTGTGGCCTCCTCCGCGACGCGAACCGGCTGAAGGCTGCTGCTGGGGCCGCGTGGGAGGGAAGGGAGCCGCAGGGGGGCGTCCTCGGCAGCGAGCTGGCGGAGGCGTCCGAGCCGACGGCTGGTTGGAGGCAGCAGCTGGCCGTCGGGGCAGAGAAACCGCCTTCGTCTGCTCCTAGGCGGTCGAGAAGTGCTGGGCAAAGTCCTGGACCGCACCGCCGAACATATGATGCTCCTGGACCACAGCGGTGGGCATCACCTGACCAAGGGAGCGAGCGACCGCCTCCGTGACCCGTTTAAGGACAAGGTAGGCGGCAGGCTCGCAGCTCGCTTGGTCCGTCACCTCCTCGTGCACATTCCTGAGCAGCTAGCTTTGTAGGTGCTCATCATATGCAGGGCGGAGGCTGCCTGTCCCGCCGCTCTACAGAATCGCGCTGCCATAGACGACGAGAACCCATAGGCTTTGGAGGGGCATCTGAGAGCAACCGCCGGTTGACCGGGGGAGCCCCAGCGTACCCACAGACAGCCGCATCGCCGAGGGGAGGAAGGGCGGGGAACTAAAGCACGCCTTTTTTTTTTTTTTTTTTAATTATTTAGTTTTTTTTAGTGCGTGTCAGTTCCGCATGCAACTCGGGAAAAAAGGAAATTGGGGTTGGCCGTAGCCGTAAGGCGGCAGCGTTACCCAAAAACCAATTATTCACCCGCGAGAGATCGTGATGGGGCGGAGTTCCACCCCCCCCCCGATGCTCACGGACGCCCGAGATAGCACGGCCATCATCGCGGGATCAGACACGGCGGCGCTGACGCTCCCGAGGGAGGCAACGCGGCCGCATCCTCACTTCCCGAGGAGTCAAGCCCGCCTAGTGATGCTGTGATCGACATCGCATCATCATCTGGAGCGCTGCCCGAAGCAGCCGGTGCCACCGAAGAAGCTCGCTGGCTCTCGCACTGAGGCGGGAGGTGTGGCCCGAGGAATCGTCGGGGCTTTGTCCCACACCATCACCGTAAAATCACCAGGTCCCCGGGTCGACGGGCCCCCTATGGAGGAAACCGATCGAGCGGGGGGGACCGGGACTCTCACTCAAGTGAGATCATTGAGTCTCGACCTCAGTGTAGAGATGGTCATGTTCCCACAGAAGGAACATGAGTCATCCACGAACGCTGCTGCTGCATGCTGAAATGCCCAGGCATACAAAGCAGCGATCGTGACCATCAGATGACGACAGAAATCAACCACACCCAGAAGAACACGGGCGAACCGTCTTTAAAAAGACGTGCGCGTGCAGCTCTTTCAATGAGAGGAGGAAATTCACTCTTTCATCGCTGAAGCGACCAGGGAGAAGCGCAAAGTCTGGCAGACCACTGCTCAGATCGCAGGCGATGCAGAATCTCGCTGGGTACCGCCGTCACACCAACACTGAAGAGGACGCTCGTCTCGAAGAGTCTTGAACAGTGCTTTCAGGAGTGAAGAGGTTCTCTTGGCTCCGAAGCGAAAACATACTGCGGTTGCGTTCACTTCCTCCTTTTATACTCACGGAGTAGGGCGGAGTACGCTATGCAAATTTCCGCAGCCCCAAGGCATTGCATGCCATTGGCTCGTGTTTAAATACTCGAAGAGGATTGGCTTTCTATGCGAAACCACCAATCTCCGTCACTTCTGACGTAACTCGAAGTGACTACGAAAGGGAACTACCTGCCTAACTTAGCTGAAGGACATGACGAAACAAGCCTTGAACATGCCAGAATGGATCTAGTGGAAGAAATGAAGAAAAAACAACCAAATGGCACTCTTGTTTCACAAATGATGGACCAATCATTCCCACTACGCAGACAAGAAATTGTAAAAAAGGAGCCTGCTATGCAAAACATAGAACGATGGCCAGCACTCTTCACCGAGAGACAGGTAAGCTATTTTTGTTCTCAACTAATGAAATGCCAAAAAATAAAATCAAAATAAATTCAAGGTGTGTGGCTAGAAATCCAAACACTTGTTGGAATGTTAAAACCTCTCCATCCTTACCCAGCCCTCTCTCTATGGTGTTTCAGGTGTTTGCTGAGTTTAATAGAGTCACCACTAAGAATCTTGAGGGAGACTTCTTTGAGGCTCTGGACCAGTATGCCCCACGTTTCATTGAACTTTTCAAAACAAAAAAGGGAACTGTTGGCCAGAAACTCAAGGAGCTGATGCAGCACGTGAGCTGGATGGTAAGTAGGTTCATTTTGCTTTTGATGTGTATGATAGTTCATCAATCAATTTCTAAATGACTCGATCCAGGCCAACCTATTTTATTTCCTGTCTGCTTGTGCCTTGAAAATTACTCTGTTAACTGGTCTTTTCTCTCTCTGTGTATCTTTGACGGTACTTCAAAGGCATTCCCATTTTACTCGGTGATGACTCCAGAGAATTCTACAAGACCTGCTCTGTAAGTACTTGCACCTAAGAAAAAGTTTGGTTCACATGAATATAAAACTATACCTGTGTTGACATAGATGTCATTCTATCTGCTTGATATACAATACACATTTTGTACAGTGATTGATGTATTTGTTTTAAATTACAGAAAATAACCAACACGTAAAATTACAGTAATTTTCCTTTATTCAAAATTTCCTATTACAGTTCTATTCCGTAGAACTAAAGCTTTTTTTTCCCACAGGTTGAATTCAGTGTCACTGTTCAAGAACGTATAGACCTTGTTGTAAATCCATATATCTTTAGTTTAACCATACCAAAAATATTTAGTTTGCTTTATTGTAAAAATTCAGTGTGAAAACATTTAAAGCCATATTCTCTGATAACATTACAACACTAAAAATTAATGTTTTATAATATAAAAAATTGCAATGCTGAAGAATGTGTGTCTTTGTAGGAGACAGTGAGAGACGAGGCCCTAAAATGCATCACTATTGGTGTGCTGACATTTGTCAATGAAGATAATCCTCACAAGGGTCAAAGCTCAGTGGACCTCCAGCCCATCTCCACTGCCATCATTTTGGAGGGAGGTATTTTCATGGATCATATTAAAAACTTCTATTTTTATAGTTTTTAAAAAACTATAAAAAGAGTTTGGGTTCCTCGCTGGGTGTTTTAAGACCGAATGTTCTGTAAAGCTGCTTTGAAACAACATGGATTGAGAAAAACATTACATTTATGAAAATAAATTGACACTATTTAAATATATTAAATTCAAGGTCTAATGTGTTTCACCTTTGCATTTGCAGTGGTTTTACGGTCACAAACGGATGCATGATATTTTTGGTTTGGTCAGCACAAACAGGGTTGAACTAAAACACAGTTGACATAATAGCAGATTTCAGACGGTTTTAAACTTCCTCTTGTGTCTGCATGGCATATCAGGAAGCAAAAAGCAGAAGGGAGAGAGTAAGGTTCGTTTCGTTTCAGAAATGTCCAAAATAAAGCTGGTTTGCTAAAACCATGAAGTGACTCAGACCGATCTCAAGGAAAACTCATCACACTGGAGTCATGTTTAGGTAAGTGTTGCATTTTGCAAAATACTTTGAAGTGATTTACCAAACAAGCCAATAATAATTCTGTGGACCATCACAAAATGTCTTACAGCATGTAATTGAGTTTTGCTATCTTTACTTATTAATACATGTAGTATTAATCGATCTCTCACTCTCCACTACTCTAAAGTTTTTTTTTAAGGAAATCATTATAATTATTGGTTAACGTAAATGTTAATATTGAAATATTTCAAATAACTAATTTAAAACAACTATTTCTATTTTAAAAAAGTATATTAGGTGTCTTTAACTACTATGAAAAAGAGTCGCAAGAACAATGTATTTATTGTGTTCCTGTTGTGTTGCAAAGCTGAGAAACGGGTTTGGACCACTTTAGAGGTACGACTGGGTTATGGTGTAAGGGAACAACCATCATTGATCATCATATATGGAATGACAGAAATGTATTACAGCTGTAATTATGTGCATGTATTTTTTTATATATATTATAAGTACAATGTAGAAACATTTATGTACACAAAAATCGACTTTTATGAAATTATTTAATGTTGTGTTCAGGTCATTTTGACCTGGAGAGGATACTCTTTTCCCCAAAAATGTTAATTAACGTTATCACATTGGACTAAAACTTACTGACTCACCCAGGGCATAACTAGTTCCCCAACATTTGTTTTGCGGGGAATTTTCTTGTGATTTAATGAAGTAAATATTAAAGGCTTGAGAAAGCACTGACACAGCACTGCATGGGGGTTTTCCTGGTTTCAGTTTCCCAAAGACTGCCACTTGCTCTTATACACAGACCAGAACAAAAGGCTTGTACAAGTATGTTTAGGGTTGTTTTGGGTGTGTTCATGTACCCCAGCGGGTAACACCTGGTTTCGGGAGCATCTTGCATCTTGAAATGACACCACCCAAAGAGGAGAACAGGATTCTTTACAGTCTTCAATCCTTATTGTGTTCAGTGACTGCAATGAAATTAAGACCATTTTACCAATCGCACTGCGGCATTTAAAACATAAAAGGGAAACAATACATTCAAAAGATGCATAATATGTAGTGAGTAGATCTTCTTAGAGAACTTTTAGTAATCAGGGGGAGAGTAAGCAAGGAGGGAGAGGGGGTGCACAGAAAGGTTTGGGCCAGACCATGTCCTGTGCTCTTGATGGTCTCCTGTCCAGAACGCGTATTAGTGCTTTACTGCAGGGTGAGTTTACCTCAGCTTTTTTCTTATGCTTATAGCACTTTAATTTTTTTTTAAAAAAGTTAAAAAGTAACTTTTAAATGTCTCATTATGCAATATTAATCAATTATTGCATTCAGTCTTTTTGACAGTATTTCTAGTTTTGTATCTGTTTTTGAAACTAACTGCTTGTTGGCATGATTGAGCATATATTGGTCAAAATAACCATCTGTAGAAAATGAATCTGGGAGATCGAAAATCAGAGAATCATTTAGTGTTGAGTGTTCATGTTGACATGTGTGCTTGCACATATAAAGACCTCGGACCTGTACACACACAAACTATTTTAAGTATTAGATGCTTTATTTTTCACAGAGATTAACTTTATCCTCAGATAAATGAGGCATACGTTCAATCAGTTCAATCAGCAAAATAAATACCAAACCTGTCCTAATTGAAAGAAAACAAGTCGACAAAAAGATTGAATCCAGTATTTGCTGATTAATATAGCATAAGCGATTTACAAGGAATTTTTAAAAGGCCGGTCATTTTTGACCCTGGAACACAAAAGGGGTTTTCAAGGTTTAAATGTAGTCCATAGTAGCAAAAGACACTTAATATAAAGATAATTCTATGATATAGCATTTGTATTATACACTTCTGAGTCAAGAAGGAAAAAAAAAAAACATTTTGTAGTTCATGTATTACAGTAATTAAATATTTAGTATATATAACTATATACATTTGTATGATAATACTTTTCAGGGGGCTGCCATTCCTGTATTAATTTCATGTAATATTCTAAATTCCTGAGATTTTGAATTTGTGGTTTTCATACGCTGTAAGCCATAATCATAAAAAATAAAACTTTTGCACAATATTCAAATTTTTCTAGTTTCACCTGTACATAATGGTGGTATGCTATTCTAAATCTAGCCGGTGTGTATTTTACGCGACAGGGCTTATACACACATGGAGCTCCCGACGACGCTGGCAGAAGTCACGGACACTTACTCCAACGAGAGCGCCAGGAACCAGTCCCAGGAGGCCTGTTCCCGTGAGGGCGCTCTGAAGACCGTCGTGTTCCCTGTCCTCTACAGCGTCCTCTTCGTCCTGGGCGTGTCCCTCAACGGCCTGGCAGCGTGGGTGTTCCTCCGGATCCCCAGCAAATCTCACTTCATCATCTATCTGAAGAACATCGTTGTGGCTGACATTATCATGACCCTCACCTTCCCCTTTAAGATCCTCGCCGATGCAAACTTGGCAACAGTCGGCGTGCGTGTGTTTGTGTGCCGCGTGTCCTCTGTGCTGTTCTACCTCACCATGTATATCAGCATCTTATTCTTCGGCCTGATCAGCATCGACCGCTGCAGAAAGACCATGTGGCCCTTCGTAGGCACCAGCCGCAGACGCCTGCTCCACAGAAAGCTCCTCTCGGCCTGCATATGGACCTCTCTGTTCGCTCTCGTGCTGCCCAACGTAATCCTGACGAGCCGCCTCAAAACTTCGGGCCGCATTAAGTGCAGCGACCTCAAGACCGAGCTGGGACTGAAGTGGCATGAGGTGGTCAACCACGTGTGCCAGGTGATCTTCTGGGGGAACCTAGTGACCGTGATAATATGCTACACGCTCATCTCAAAAGAGCTCTACAAGTCGTACGCCCGCACACGGGCTCAACACGAGGCCAGACGAGGGGCGGACGTTCCCCACAGGCCGCTCAACAAGAACAGCATTCAGGCAAACGTGTTCCTGGTGTTGGCCGTCTTCTTCGTGTGCTTTGTTCCCTTCCACTTCGCCCGAGTGCCATACACTATTAGCCAGACACGAGGACAGATGTTCAACTGCCAGCAGAAGCTGTTCTTCTTCCAGCTGAAGGAGAGCACGCTGTGGCTTACCTCCCTCAACTCAGTGCTGGATCCACTCATCTACTTCTTCCTCTGCAAGTCGTTCCGGACATCCCTGTTCAACACCCTGCGGCTGTCTCCCGGCCGCTGTGGGGATCTCGGGACCGACTCCACCAGCGCTCCTGTGGACAACACGCCGATCTGATGGACAAGCGCCCAGTTCTTCTCCTACACTTCTACTCTACGCTGTAACAGCAACATGCTACATGATGAATCAAACCTTTTAACAACTTGCACCCTAATTACCTCAACCTTGATTCAAATCAAGAGGTTTCACATGTCATGACTGGCTAGTGGAAGAAAGCATGCCAGGAGAGATCTCTTGCCTCTTGCAGGCGCGATCCTGTTAAGATAAGCCGACCTGTCCAGCCATGTCATGTGCTGGTAGCCGAAGTACCTCTGATCCTTACTAATTTAGAAAGGCGTGGGATGCGTAGTATTTGTTGTCACTGACAAACCTTTAGTGACAGGCATCCAGATGTGCAAAAGTACTAACATTTTTCATGAAAATGAATCCAAGTATTGTGGATATCATACTATTAAAGACATTACTGTAATGAAGACACTGATAATAATGATTCTACAGCTCAAGACTGTAAGTTTTTTCCAAGTCCAGTTCATTGTGAAGTCAACATTTGTAATAAATGAACTACTGTTGTAAAAACAAAACCATGACTTTGGCAAAAAGCGGAGATTTATTGTAAACCATTTGATTGTTGCAACACATCACTGTTTGTCTTCGTCTGCGTCACAGCGGGACCAAAGTTGCTTCCCAAACTGTCTGTTTGAGGTTGTTGCACACTTTAACATAAAATGTAATGTTTTTAAGACCCAAACTAATAGAAATTAATACCATGCTTCTACACAAAAACAAACACACTCCAAATACATCTCAAAATAAATCATGTCTTTAAATTAAATTGTTTAATATTGGCCAGTTTTCACTAAGTAAGGCTATGGAAGAATTATATTAAATCATAAATACAGGCCTTTATACACACATAAATAAACTATTTATCTAACAAAAATGTTATAAATTTCATGTAGGACATCCATGAACACTTGATTATTGGAGGATAAATGGAATAAAATAACTAATTTGTGCAATTTATACAGAGAAATAAATAAATAAATAAAATTATAAATATAAATTCTGTCATTATTTACTCACCTTCATGTTGTTCCAAACTGTTATGGATTTCTTTCTTCTCTGGAACACAAGAGAAGATATTATGAAAAATGTAAACAATCTTAGAAATATCTAAAATCTTCACTTCCGAGTGAACGAACCCTTTAACATGCTCAGAGTAGTTTTCACAGGACACCTGCACATGAGATGTGTCCCACAGACTCGGAAAGGCACAGGTTGGCACAGGAACTCAGAAGAGCTATATTGTAATTATATTCCCTGCATCTTCGCCTCAGAACCTGAATTTGTGAGCACCTGTTTTCTCTCATTCCAACATGTCAGACACTGCCATCGTGTACAAAACATGTCAAATGCTAATGACGCAACGGAGCAGGGAATTGAGGGCTAATTTGGCAAGTGTGGAGAGAACATGAAGCAGGTTCCTAAGGTAAGTAGGACTGGAAAAGCCTTGCTCAAAGTCTTAAAGCTGCCGTTAAACTTTCAAAAAATGTTCAGAGTGCCTGTCATAACATGTCCCGTGGAGATCAAGAGGAGGTGGTAGATGGTCTCAGGAATCAGACATCATCATCATTTTTATTAAATACCTGTGGAGAAGTAGGGGTGTACAAATGTCACAGTGATGTGACAAAGATAAGAATACACCACTAAACCACAAACAGAAATCAGACATCAATAGCACAACTGTGTAGCCTAAATATATCACCATTTAACTTTCAAAAATAAATAGCATAAACTCATTCATAAACTTAAACTAAATGAAAACACCTTAAGACATTTATCCATGCCTACATCACCAAACTTTAGGTTCACTTCCCTCTTAATAGAAATGGTTTAACACAACACAAGAAAAAGGAAGCTATGATCCCGCCCCCTCCTTCACAGGAACAGGATAATAAATAACAACAATGCATAACTACAACTTGTATCCGAGTGGTTAATGGGGAAAACACATCAAAGAACAACTATAATAGATATAACACGTTGTGATGACCACTGATATGTGCACCAATCTGCAATCAACTCAAACAGCATTATTATAAATGTATATTCTAGAATAATGAACCAGATCAAACAATTATATCGTAAACCTAATAGACTGCAACATAATCAACAGAAACACAAAACCATTAAAATAACTGTAAAGAAGCATAAGCACCTAAACAGTTTGCAAAAACGTCACATGCTGTCCTTATCGTGGTAGTGATGACGTCATCTCAGCACCGTCATCACACACCACATGTCAATGAATAAATGACACAAATTAATTTAAAAAATTTTTTAATTTAAAATGTGAAAAAATGTCTACTCCACTTTCCAGCAATACTTCAAAGATGTTTTGCTCTTTTATTGGTCACTCATCTTCATGTCACCTGAACTTCCAGGTCAGAGTTCCCCACACAACTCAATGTGAAACTGCTTGTGGTCTCCTGCATTCATGTGCAAACTCAATGGAGAGAAGCCTGACTGCCCGTAAACACAGCAGCGTGAATCTGCATTCATCTACATCAACAGAATTCTGCAAATATTACATCAAATGATAATAAATATATTATTTTATGGCCTAAAATCTTTCAGATATTTTAGGATGCTTTTAAAGAATCACAGGAAGCCTGTGTTCCTCTTTGGTGGGATGAGGTTTGCCAATCTCCAACCGATCTGCTGACACCATCAACACTCGTGTTCTGCAAGCGCTTATGGGAACTAACCCACAACCATCAACAAACACACTTTCTTTGTTTATATTTGGCATTGTGTACTATGAATAATTTTGCTTATGATAAACTGCTTGTAATGTTCCTTGTTTGTAAGCTGCTATTGATAAAAGCATAGTTAATAAATAGAACTGCATCACTTGTTGAAGATATCGCTTCTGAAGAAAAAGACCTCTTTCTCCATGATCATCAAACCTGAAGAAACCAATCTAGATCCTTCCTTTATTGACAGACGTCCCTCCTCTGTCTTCACTGAATTCTCTGTTATGAAGCTGAAGTAATTACTTTCACTTGGTTTCCTTCTACATGTTTGTTGGAGACAACTGCAATAAACCCCCATAAGAGTGGCACATGGACAATAATTTTTTCTTCTTTTCCTGTATTATGCTCAAAAACTGGTTGTAAAGGATACAAAAAATAAAAAAAATAAAGGATAATTGTTCAAAAATGTTCAGAAATTCTTGTTTTATTAGTAAACATATTTATAAAACTTATATTTTATAATTTTGTGTGCAATTGTACAGCAATGCTCAAATGGTTGATAATAGTAAGAGAATGTTAAAGGAGTAATTAACTTTTAAAAAAAAACTTTTGCTGATAATTTACTCACCCCCATGTCATCCAAGATGTCCATGTCTTTCTTTCTTCAGTCGAAAAGAAATTAAGGTTTTTGATGAAAACATTACAGGATTTTCTCCATATAATGGACTTCAATGGGAACCAAACGGTTCAAGGTCCAAAAGACAGTTTCAGTGCAAACTTGTTCAAAGGGCTTTAAACGACACCAGACGATGAATAAGGGTCTTATCAAGCGAAACGATCGCTCATTTCGGAGAACAATAAGTTTATTATTTGTAACACCAATATTAAGTAAACAAAATTTAGCTATTACCTGCACACAGGGCCGGCCCGTGGCATAGGCAGTATAGGCAAATGCTAAGGGCGCTACCACTCAAGGGGCGCCAAAATGAGTGAACGAGTGAATTTTTTTATTTTATTCTTTTTAAAAAAAAATTTACTAGTACTATTTTAAAACCATTAATTCGAAATACTACAAAATAAAGCAAAACAACTCCACAAAAATACTATGCAATTAGATAAACTGTTGAGTATTTATTGAGTAGGCTAATAAATAAAGTGCACGTTCTCAATAACAGTTTAAATAAATGAAATAAAGATTTAAACTGTTTTACTTCTGATAAACATTTAGATTAAATATGCCATTCTCGTTAATGGAGTTAAACACTTAAACTACATGAAATCATTACTGAGAAGTTACAAAAAATATATATTCAATAAATAGAAATATAGGCTATATTTGTTGTGGATGCAATGCTTTTGAACATATTCCCTCTGGCATGCTGTGTTTTATGATAATAGCAGATTGTCTGAGAAAATAGTTCCATAATCCACAAGCATGTCTATCTGTTTCCATTAGAAATATAAATTCGTTAAAAATACTATTTGGCCAGTTGAAAAGATTGAGAAAATCTTTCTCTGAAATGTATTTGACACTATTTGATTTATTCATTCAAAAACAAGGCAAGGATATAGGCTTCTAAAAAAAAAAATAATAATTTATTGTGACACGGCACATCTGTATTTCATATTTTCCTAACGTCTTGTACGTTAACATGGTCTCACGTGGATGAATAATCACATGAAAATGATATGCAGATGAGGATATGCATATTTAAACTAGGCGTTGTAATCTCCATATATGGTTATTTCGGGGAGGAGACGCATGTGCGCGCATAATCTCCCGCTGACTGGGATTTATAAAGGGAATTCTGCGCAGGTTCTGGCGTACGCATGGCTTTATAAATCTGAACTTTTTGGCGTACGCCATTTTTGGCTTTCGGGCGCACGTACACTTTTAGTAAGGATTCAGTTTTATAAATGAGACCCCAGAGCTGTAATTTGGTGCGGGCCCCTTTAATTTTGTCCTGTACAGTGAAGACTGTGACCGCTTTTCCTTGCAGTGCTAAGTTGAGCGTATTGAGCGTGCTGAAAATATCTGCAAGATAGGCTAGTTTTGAAAGCCACATAAAGTCATGAAGTCGATCATACAGTTCATCAGCTTGGTGCAGAAATAATTTTACTTCATCGCACAGTTCAAAAAGACAAGACAGGACCTTGCCACGGGATATAACCAGCGCACTTTAGTGTGGAAAAGAAGTTTTGTGTGCTCACTCCCCATCCATTTCTTCACACAGGACTTTAAAAAGACGTGAGTTGAGGGCTTTGCTTTTGATTGAGTTCACTATTTTAACTGCCTCGTCCAAAACAGTTTTAAGGCAACTTGGCATCTTTTTCACCGCGAGCTGTTCTCTGTGAATGCAGCAATGAGTTGACTCAGCGGATGGAGCAACATTACGCACACGTGTTACCAGGTCCTTGTGTTTGGCTGTCATCGCAGTTGCACCATCAGTGCAAACTCCAACACAACATTTCCAGTCAATGTTATTATGCACAATGAAGGCATTTAGTGAATCGAAGATCGCTTCTCCTGTGGTATTCGTTGGGAGGGATTTACAGAAGAGAAAATCCTCGTGGACTGAGCGCGCATGGATGTATCTCACAAAACACAGAAGATGTCAATGGACTCGTCCAGCTGAAGAGAAAAGAAGGGACTCTGGTGTAATCGTGTGATCAGCTGCTCTTGGACATTTTCAGACATTGCAGTTATGCGTCACTGGACAGGGTCATTAGACAGAGGGACTTTGTGCATGTCATCACTTGCTTTCTTGCCTAGCATTACTTTTGCCATAACTTCTGCAGCAGGCTTAACTAGAGTCTCTCCAATTGAATGGGCTTTTCCCGTTTTTGCAACGAGTAGAGACACTTTGTATGACGCCTCAGTAGCCTTTGCATTTTCACCCGGCGTAAAAAAAACTGTGAAGTGTTTTTACTCATGTGTCGCTCGAGCTCATCGCGTTTTCTCTCAAAAAATGACACTGGATTATCTGTACAATATTTGTGCTTAGACTCAAAGTGACGCTTGAGTTT